AAATGCAAGTCTTTATGTTCAGGTGAGGTCCAGTGTATAAATATGAAAGTGGAAATTTGAAAATAATCCTGTACATCTGTTTTGAATTGTCTTGGTATAAGAAAAAGTTTGATGTTAAAGCTCTTTATTTCTTAAGTAGGATATAGTATAATTCCATCTCTATTTTAAAAGAATGTGAAGTATGACTTTAATTTTCCATTTCTACCTCTCGTTTCCTCCCCCTCCTCCCCCTTTCCTTCCCCACTTTTCCCCCCTAGATCCCAGGTAAGGGGTTAGATTAATTATATTCTTGGTTCATGGTCAATTTTTAGGGTGATCCCTGCCAAGTTTTCTCTTTTATTCATCTCTCTTTTATGTCTGTATCTAACTTCATTTTACCTTTGCATCATAGGCAACTGTTCTAATGCATTTGGATTTGTATTCTTGGATTTACAATGTACACTTAACAAAATATGCACTGATATTTAGGGTGTTAATTTTTAATAATAATTATAAATGTAATTATGTCACAATACATTAGATTTTTGCTAGTAGGCTTTTACATGCAGTCATGTTACAGTATTTACATGCTGTATGTTGGTTCTCATAACAATTCATGAAGTAGAACGCATATTGTACTCCCAAGGATGGACACACTGATTATTTCTTACTGTCAGCCAACACGAAGACACCTGAAGTAAACACTGTCTTACATGTTCTCATAGGTGAGAATTCTGAGTCGGAAATTGCTGATCCCAGCTTATCTTTGATTTAGTTTTGTGATTTGACTGAGTACTCTTGGATGGCATATGAAAGTGGAGGTTCCAGGTGGCATAAGGGACAGGCTGTTCCAAGTCACGCTGCCAACCACAGTGCTCTGGTTGATTCTCCTACAGTTCTTGGCTTCACATAGTCATTTTTTGCCAAGCTGTGTATAAAAGATGTCTTGCTATTGTACTTTGCATTTTGCTGGGTTAATAAGAAATTTTGTACTATTATGTTAGTTTAAATGCTTGGTGCTTATCTGGTTTCCTTTTTTTGTAGTTTCTAGTTTATTCTTTTTGCTCATTTTCTTCCTAGTGGATTTCTTACCTGTTTCTTGTCACTTGTAGGAATACCTTTTACTTTCTAAATAGAGTGCTTTCTCTTTTTAAATATTTGAAGTACATTCTCTGAGTGAATTGTGTGTTTTTAACTTTGAAGTGGCAAAGTTATATGAGCACTTCATTTTGAAGTCTTCAAATTCATCATTTTTTTACCTTTTGAGTTTTGCTTAGGAGTCCTCTTAAGGAGTCTTTTTCTATTCCACGAAGATATTCCCCTACATAGTCTTCTCTTAGCTTTACCTTTTCACGTTTAACTTTGTGAGTATCTGGAATTTACCTTTGTATTTGGTGAAGACAGCACTAAAATCCAGTTGTATTTTTCTCTTTTGTATATGGTTAGGATACATTCTTCAAGTTCCTTAATAAACAATGCTAAAATATTACATAAAATTTATATATTAATTTATATAAAACCAATGTTTTCATAGTGTAAAATTGTCCCGTCTATGAAACTTGGAATATTTCTCTGTATCTTAGCGGTTTGGCTTGGATATTTTCAAATAATGAGTCTAGTTACATTTAAAAATCGACACGATGTGAAAAAGGCACACTGAGTAATTGGCAGGTGAATTATTTAGAAGTGGAATCATCACATAGGCAATTATGGTACATGTTTTATATTTTATACTTTAACATTTAATATATAAAATATGTTAAAATTAGCTGGAATTGAGATGGTTTTTCAGTTCAAGTGTGATATTTTATTTTATCATTGGAATACAAAAAATGAATAGTGTCCATGAAAATAATTGCTATTTAGATGACCGTTAATAGTATTTTTTATTTCTGGTCATATTCTCTGGGATAGCTTTATGCATTTATAAGTGAGCTCTACTTTATGTTGGCATGTATTGGTAGCATTGATGAAAAATATCAATCACATTTATATTTGTAAGTCTGGAAACGCTAACAGAAATTTTCCCTCCAAAAACAAAAAAAAATCATGAGACAGTTTTAGTTTTAAGTTGGGCAACTCTTTAATGATTTTAAAATGTGTTTTGATAAACACAACACTGGGGAAAAGTTACCTATGGGAGAAGAGATTTTGAGAAGGAATTTTGATTTTGATTTGAACATGATGAAATCTTGTCATCCTATCAATGCCTAAAGCAAAAGCACCGGAAGTAAAATAAATCAGCAGAATTGTTTCTTGCACACACACACTCACACACACATACACAACAGATGAGAGGGAGCAATGGAGGAGGGGGGGGGAGAGAGGGAGAGAGAGAGATAGAGAACAAGAGAGAATGAGAACATGAACATTACACCGTGGAGAATCCTGAGGTCTCATGTGTCCAGGTGCAGGATTTTGACTTTGGTCAGGTGATATTCATATCTAAATTAGCCTTATCACTTAACTTTGTTTTATTATTTATAATTCTTACCACTCCCAGAAGTTCATTCATTCATCTTATTGTACACATCCTATCTTCTTCAACCCCCTCCACTCCTCTTTCTTTTATCATAGGCTCCAAGTAGGTAACAGCTTGATTATTTGGTTTCAATATTATATGCACAACCTCTAATAAAGTTTCTGGCCCCCCAAAAATGTATTAACAAGTATTATTTAATGATTACATTTGTGAATGAATAAATGAATACAACCAAAGGAGTGGACATATCTAAATATAGCTGTATTCATGTTGACTACTGCCAAGAGCATTACTTAAGATTAATAAAGATACAGATATTGAATAGATCAATTTGCTCCTGTGGACATATGACCTAAAATATTCAAAGCAAATCATTGCTATATTTTTCCTGCATCTGTATTTTAAGTCTGTGGTTTGGGTGGGGTGGTATTAATATAATGTTTTCTTTTTGCTTAAATTAATATTTGGATGAATTTCTCTGGAGTAATTTCAATGCAAATCAATTTTCATTTACTAATCCCTCAATCAAAGCAGAACTTTGTGGAGGGATGAAGTGGATTGGAAACTCACCTAGGTATCAGAAGTTTCCATAGAGCCATGCTTCATTAATTTGTTGGGGGAAAGCTAGTATATATAAAATCCATGTAGTGTTACACCTGTTAAGTTTGAAGATAATCATAACATTTTACTATTGTGTTTGCCATATTTTAACTTCCTGTTATGGATTTAGTAGTTCAACTGGACAATATTTTAAATTGCTTTACGTGTGTGTGTGTGTGTGTGTGTGTGTGTGAGAGAGAGAGAGAGAGAGAGAGAGAGAGAGAGAGAGAGAGTGAGGATGGAATCCAGAGGTGCTTTAATGCTGAGTTACATCTCCAACTCATTTTTTATTTTTTAATTTTGAGAAAGGGTCTTGCTAAGTGCTGAAGGCCTTGATAAGTTGGTGAGACTGTCCTTAAACTTGCAATCCTCCATGTGTGGATTTACCTTTCCATTTGAGTATATGATTTTCTGTGGATTCATCATTTCAAGTTCTCATCCTTAATGTGTGAATGTCAGTTTGCAATAAAAGACAAATCATGATATAAGAATGTCAGGTGTAGCGTAGAGTAAATTTGGAAATAGTGAGCCTTGGGTTGGAATTTCTGCTGTAATATCTCAGGATCAACTTGGCAAATTCTTCAGTGCCTCTGAGTCTGCTTCCTCACCCACAGGACAGGCATTAGCTTTATGTACAGGACTCTGTAGAAAGCTTCGTGAGATGACATATATCAAGTGTGGAATAGTATGTGACATTGTTCGATGTTGGATAATGCTCAGTTCAGTGCCTTTCTTGTTTTCCATCAGAAGCATAACTTACCAAATACGAAAGATTAGTATTCTCTGCAGATAATATAAAGACATAATGACAAAAATCACATTACATTTGTATTATTTCTATCATCAGTGCTCTATAATTTTAAATTGCAGAGCATCAATCATTATAACATTAATGATAATAGCAAATATTTATCATTTACCATTGTTCAGGCATTGTCTGAAACATCTTACTGTATATTGACTAATTTAATTCCCATCACGAAGGCAATGAGTCACTATGAACCCATTTTCCAGATGAGTGAACCATAGTGCTGGTGTATTAAATTATAGGCATGCAGGCAATTCTGATCCTAAAAGATTCTACACTTTTTAAATGCATTAAAAAGTGATACCCTTTCGTTATTCAGGCATAGTGTATCAAATAAATTTTGATACATATAAATCTTTCTTCTTGTCTTCATCTTTCCAATGGGGGAAGAGTTTATTTTCAAGGATCAATACCCATCTCCTTGAGGGGAGAAATGACTTTTAGTATTGAGAAACTATAATTAGATGGGGAGAAAATTAAGGGCACACAGAAAACAAATGATTTTCAACATGATTACGTGTGGGGAAATATTTTTCCCTATAGTGAACTCATTTGTTGGAAGGGTATAAAGAAACATTATATCTGAACAGACCATATATACTTCACTGTTTTAAGAAGGGTAATGTTTTACTGATACGTTCTGATGCCTATTGAGTATCTTTCTAACTTTGATCTTGTTTAGATACTTTTGCTTTTCATCTTTAGATCTTTTATGGCATTTATCAGTTTTTTCATACTAGAATGAAATCTTTGTTTATTTTAAGATGATTTCTTACAGTTTCTAGCCCAATAAGTATACAGTACTTTCAGACCATGAAGACCCCTATGGAAACTTGAAAGAGCATGAAGTCTTTGTAGGTGATCTTAAGATAACATTGTTCTTGGCCTTATGATGAACTGTATATGTATATCAGCTTTGAGACCTAATAATTGCTTTAATTATTTTTAAGCTTTGATTACATTTAATCTCCTGGCTTGGTGAAATGTTAGAGTATAAGGGAAATAAATTTTACTTCTTAAAATGTTTTATGCAGATTTTTGTCTCCCCGTGGTACTTCCTGATGGCCTGATATTATGTTATGTGTAATTGGATTGACGCTTAGCCTGAATGCTTCTTTTTCTTCTTGCCAGCATGGGGTAACCTTGGAAATGTTCTGAAGAGTCAGAGCAAAATTTCTGAAGCTGAAAGCGCCTATAGAAATGCTTTGTACTACCGCAGCAACATGGCTGACATGCTTTATAATTTGTGAGTATGACTCGCTTTCTCTGATTGGGTTCATTTTTGAAACCTGTGGTGAGAGGGACTATTGATTTAACTGCTGGAAACAGAGATGGTGATAGCTGTTTTTCTGAAATAGTCTTTTCATTAATCATGCCTCTGAGACTCATAGGTGGATAGTATTTGTGATTTCTTGGTTGGGAGCCACATCATCTATATTCATGAGTATTGATGTATTATGGCTGAGGTTTTTTGAAGTAGTATACCATATGATAACCTAAGAGTTGGTTTAAACGCTTATAGTTTTTCACAGAGTTTGTTCCCTTAATACTGAGATGGGTATTAGGGCTCATAAAATAAGTCTTTGTGTTTGATACTTATACAAAAAAAAAAAAAAAGCAAGGTGAAAGTAAACACCTTCTTATTGAACTTGGTTTTCTCTCTCTTAATCCACAGTCACAGGTTATTAATAATGATGGCTTTCTTCATCGTTAAGAAATTGCTCATGTCAAAGTATATATAGAATGTTTGCTTAGCCAGAGAGTTAATGAAAAAGAACATGGTTGTGATAATGGTGGTTCTTTTTCCTCTTCCTCATCCTCATCCTCTTCATTTTTTTTTTTTATTTTTGGTCTTTGAAGGTACTGATGATTATCAGCAAGATTTGGATAATGGGGTAATTTAGAATATCTGCACATTGAATTAGAAACATCCCTATGATTAATTTTGTTGTTTTTGTTGTTGTTTGACTGAAAGTCCTAGGAGCTATTAAGAAGTTTGAGCTGGTAAATCCAAACTAAACTCAAGTCCTTGTTTGGCCTCTTATCTTTATGAGAACATTTTGTTTGTTTGTAATAGAAATCTAGCTTAAACTTGCTTAGACACAAAAGAGAATTTATGAACTCCCATAACTGGGAATTCTTGGGGTTGTCTAGATGCAGGCACGGTTAAGTCCCAGTGCTTGATTATGTTCTGGGGATTTGCCCCAATTTTGTGGCTCTGGTTTTGTCCTGCTTTGTTCCATTCTCTGTGCTGCTCTGTCTGTAGGGATGAGAAGGGGGCTCCTGCACCTTTATTTGTGTTACCTCCTGATTCTTCTTAGTCTTGGAAGAGAAGATAACTTTTTTTGTTTGTTTTGGGGTCTGTATTAATCCTGCAAAAAGCTCTCCTGGGGTCCTGAATGTTCTCTTGCATGAAACACTGGGCAGTGTGGGAGGGACTGAGAGAATCCTCCTTTGAGAGCTTTTCAGAGTTGGTATGGGCAGAACAGATGTCTACCCACTTGTGTTTAATGAACTCAACATAATATTGACAGTATCAAAAATTTGTAAACTTTAATTTTTGATATGTATTTATACTCTGGCTACCTAATCTTTCATACTGGTTAACTCTAAAAGTACTGAAATTAAAAAAATAAATAAATAAAGTCCAAATAGGAAAAGTTCTAGTTATTTGAGGGAAGGCAGAAGGAATGGTTCATTTCATTTTCTGTTCATACATTTACCCTGTCTTTAAATTTCTACTCTCTGATGGTGGGATCTCAGCTGAGGGGGCTGATTGTGTGAATTAAGTTAGCAGGTGTGCTTTGTTCTTTATTTCACACTGTTTAATTTTTCCTTTGTTACCTGAAATTCCTTCACACAGAGCAAACTCTTTCCATTTTGCATCATCCCTTCCACCCACTCAGCTGTGTTTCATGCATCACCAGATTTATTACCATCCTCTTTCCTGAAGTATTCGAATGAAAATATCAAATTAGGCTCCTGCGTACAGACACTCATGTGTTGATTAATAACTATTATACCATGACAAAGGCCCATATCAGTTTACTACACTTACACACATGTTCTTTATATAGGAACAGTTTTTTTTTTAATCTTAAAGTAATATCAAAGTGTCTCTTGCTTTGCAATATTGAGTATCAGTTTTCTGATATCTATTCTCCATACACTTTCAGGGAAAAAAAAAAGAAAGGTGAAAATCAACACCTTTTTATTGAACTTGGTTTTCTCTCTCTTATCCATAGTCACAGGTTAACTTAAAAATAAAATAAAATAAAATAAATTGGGAATGCTGGGGATGGAACCCAGAGTTTGGTATATGAATGGTTAGTGCTCTGACATCCTCAGCCCCAACAACCACTGGTTAAAAAATTACCTACCTGTGGGTGGTACCTATTGTGTAGGAGGTTAAAGGAAAAGGATTTCTGTTTATTCAGATTTATTCTTTCTTCCTTCCTTTCTTTCTTTCTTCATGAAGAAATAGTTACTAACATGATCAATTTTACCCCCTTAATTGTAGTCAATGGAATGTGTCATTAGGGCCACATAGAGTTCTAATATATTTTTTCCAATATAATAGGTTTCTTTCTTTCTCTCGTGCTAGGAATTGAACCAAAGGCCTACTACAAGCTAGGAAAGGACCATCCCACTCATCTACTTCTCCAACCCTCCTTTATCTATCTATCTATCTATTTATATTTTGAGACAACGTCTTGTTAAGTTCTCCAGGTTGGACTTGAACTTGTGTTCCTCTTGCCTCAGCCCCCCAAGTCTCTGGGATTACAGACATTTACCACCATGCCTGGTTCATCCATATTTCTTCTTTACTGTAATCATAAATTTATTCCATTAGATAATCCCACTTCATATGTAACTTAAAATCTTCATCTGACAGCCTCATGGATCTCTATATAAACTATGAAAGCATATGGATACTGTTACCCAATCCCTACTGAAAAATACTTGATGAAGAAATAGTTACTAACATGATCAATTTTACCCCCTTAAGTGTAGTCAATGGAATGTGTCATTAGTGCCACATAGAGTTCTAATATATTTTTTCCAATATAATAGGTTTCTAAGTCACACATAATTGTCAGCTTAAATAGAAGAGGCTTAAATTTCCCTGAAAAACTGTTAGCAGTAATTCAGAAGTATTGAGTTATGTAACCTATATGGTTGACAGAATTCTGATACTCAGTTTTTATCTTCCAATGTATGTATGATTCCATGATTTTTAAATCAAATATTAATAAAATGAACAAAGATAAATCTTCTATAACTTCCAATATTAACAAGTTTGGTATTATATGTTCCTTGGAACAATTTTTTTCTTTTTTGTTTATATTGGTAGACAGTTTAGAAATTATTAAACAAATTAACAGTTTTGCTTTTAAGATGTACATGCTATTTCCATTACATAATTTGATGTACAGAAATTATTCTATGTTCTGTTTCAATTCCTAAAATGAATTTGCATTGCTCAGTCATTCTAGTAAACTTAACCTGATAATTCTCCTTTGTGGCTATACGAAACATTACTTACTTTTCTTATGATCATTTACACTTATGTCTCCTAAAGATGTTTTGTGAAAGCAGCTTGAAACTGATAAACATACTTTTAGTAATTGGTACAAAATACTTATATTTCTTAATGAAATTTAGAAGCTTTTTGGAATCCTAGTTTCTGTTATATCTTAATTTTGATCAGTAACCTAGAATTTTGGAACATATTTAGTATTCATAAGCCTATTTGCTTTGAAAATTATTGTAAAAGTTTTATATTATAAGAAATCTTTATGGGAAAAATAATCTGAAGGCATGTGTCATCATTTCACTTTAAAGCAGTATGATCACTAAAGTGAGGCACCCCATGACTGGCCAGACAGGGGAATTCTAGGTCAGAGATGATCCTTGGATTGATTTCTATATTTTGTTTTTATGTTTCTATTTTAAAGATATCATTAGCACTTCTTATTAAGTATATCTGAACATTTTAGGTGAGGAGGAAGGAAAATATAGGTGATTTGGAAAACAAGTAAGCAGTGTGGAAATTTCATAATCTTTTACAGGATGATAATACTTTGAGGAAAGTTTTTTGTTGTTGTTAGACATGATATCAGATTATATCTGAGAGGTGAATACAAAGGATTGTAATCCCTATTTATATAATATTGGAATAATTTTAATTTTTGTTACTTTGATAGCAATTTATTTATTTACTTGGTTCTAGTAATTGAGCCCAGGGGTGATTTGCAACTGAGCTACATTTCTAGTCCTCTTTATTTTTTATCTGGAGTCTTGCATAGTTGCCTAGGCTGGCCTCCAACTTGTGATCCTCTTGCCTCAGCCTTCCAAGTCACTGAAATTATAAGTGTGCACTTTCTGTGGCCTGCATGGCAATTGCTTTAATGGCATTAACTAGTTGTGTTAATACTAGTTAATACTAGAGTATTGTGCCCAGTACTCTTCTTAATTCTTTCCATGGTATCCCAGTTTGCCTTCTAATGAAGCCTACACAATGAGGAAGCCAAGGTTCAGAGTTACTTTGTATAAGGTCACACAAATAGTGTGTATAGGGACCATTGTTTAAACCTAAGATGCTCTGATTCTGTACCCATGCAAAACTTGTATTTCTGCTCAAACGGGCAGAAACTTCAATAAGCAAGGCACAGTGGCACATGACTGTAAGTCCCTTTGCTCAGATACTTGAGGAGGACCATAAGTTTGAGGATAGCATGAACAACTTAGTGAGATCCTGTCTGAAAATTTAAAAATTAGTAAAAAGGGCTGGAAATGAAACTTGGTGGTAGAGTGTCCCTGTGTTTAATCCCTGGTATCACAAAAACAAAACAGAAGACAACAAAACAAAATATCCAAACTCTTCATGATGTATGTTTCAATTAAAAAAAAGTGTGTGTGTGTGTGTGTGTGTGTGTGTGTGTTTACTTCAAATGACTTTTAAATGTAGAAAGAAAATATTTGACTTTCAATCTACTATAATACTACATATTAAATTTTTATAATAGTTACTGAGTTTAATCAACTAGATTGTCAATGGAATTCACAACTGCATTAAGAGCTGTTTTGAAGAAGAAAGTGCTACAGAAAAAATTTTTTTTGTTTTCTTTTGTTACCAGGGTTTGAACTCAGGGACACTTAACCACTGAGCGATATCCCTAGTCCTTTTTATTTTTTAATTTGAAAGAGAATCTTATGAAATTGCTAAGGGCCCTGCTTAATACA